TCCCTCCCTGCCTGTTTCCACCCTGCAGCAATGCTGGTGTGAGAGAACCCAGCGCCTGGTCTGTGGGCAGAGGGAACGGGGGCTCTGGGGGCTTTGCTCCCCTCCAGCCTTTGCTATCCAGCACCCACTTTGCCCCAGGACAGCCGAGCATGGCCACGAGCTGCTGGCAGCACAGCGGGTGGAAACAGGCTCCAGGGAGCTGCTCAGACCAAGACTTTCCCTCCTTGCTGGGCCTGCGGCCAGTGGAGGGCCCTGGCTTGGGACAAGCAGCAGCTGACACCGTGCACTTTGGAAGCAGCAGATCGTGGCACCAAAGTGCTCCAAAAAGCCCCTTTAAAGCAGAGAGCTCCCTCAGGTCTTGCCCTGCTCCCTTTCAGGCTCGGGGGCCTGGGCTAGCAGCAGGCTCAGCCAGTGGACACAGGACTGAACTCAGCTCTGTGGTTAAGAGGTGAGAGTGGTTTTAAGCTCTGTAGCTGGCAGCACCCCGAGCAGCAAAGGAAGCTCAGCTGGCACATGGGCAGTGGCAGATGCAGCTCCCCAGCCTGCCTGCGTGGAGTAAACCCAGCACCAACTCCTGTCCAGCTCCCAAAGCTCCTTCCCACCACGCCCAAAGGGCCAGGGCCCCTCAATTACATAAAGTTAATTAACACGCCCCCCTCTCCCCAAGAAAATAAAATTAAAAATTCTAGAACGAGGTGCTGAAAGAGGAGGAGGATGAGCCATGGTACCCACAGGGGACGTGACACACGTGCTCCTCTGAGGTGTGGAAGTGCTCACAGGACGTGGCCCCTCCAGCTCTTCTCCCTCCTTCCTAACATTTGTACATTCATCTCGAGAGGGGGTTTCCCTCCCAGGGCAGGCAGCAGCCACTCGAGGGACCTGCTCACCAGGACACTGCTGCTGCTGCTCCAGCTCTGCTCGGCAGGGACGGGTCCTGCTGCTACTGTTTAGTGTCACATCTGTTGTTGAAAAGATGTTTTATGACGCCCGGGTTTGCCAGGGTGGAGATGTCCCCCAGATCCTGGTCGTTTTGGGCAATCTTCCTCAATATCCGCCGGGTGATCTTCCCTGTAACCACACCCGTGTGAGGGAAGCAGGGCTCAGGATCTCTGCAGCACCCTTAGGAGGGGGCAGTGCCCAGACCTGCAGCATCCTGCTTGCCCTGAGGCTGTTCCCCTCTGGATTTGAGTGGCCCCAGACGAGCAGTTTAGGGCTGGTTTCCACCCTCCCCCAGGCCTGTCCCTGGCCCCTTACCTGAGCGGGTTTTGGGCAGGCTGGGGGCGTGCTGGATGTAGTCGGGTGTGGCGATGGGTCCAATCTTATCTCTCACTGAAAAAAAAACCCAGAACGAACAAGATTTTTGTTGTAGGTACCAGGAGATTCCCCACACACCCTCCCCAGGCAGCACGGCCAGGCTGGGAGGTGCAGGGGAGGGCTGCAGGCTGTGGGAGGAGGCAGCAAGAGCTGCAGTGGCAGCAGGGCTACAGGCACCTTCCCAAAGGCAGGAGCACTCCCTGTGCCATTGTCTCCACTTTCAAGAGACCTCTGCAATGGCTGCATCACTCACTACTGTCATTTTGGTAGAGCAAGGACTGATCTGCTGTTGGATTCCTACAGAGAAGGAACCAAGTCCAACTCATGTATTAAACGCAGGATTCCAGCACGGTGGGGGTTGGAAGGGACCTCTGGAGATCATAGAATCATAGGGGTTGGAAGGGACCTCAAAAGATCATCTCATCCAATTCTCCTGCCAAAGCAGGGTCACCAGGACGGTGTCCAGGTGGGTTTGGGATCTCTCCAGAGCAGGAGACTCCACAACTTCTCTCAGCAGCCTGCTCCAGGCTTGGCCACCCTCACAGGAAACAAGTTTTTCCTCCTGTTCAGACGGGTTCCAGTTTGTGCCCATTTGTCTGTTGGCCACTCTTCTTAGTATACTTCAGGACACCATTGGCCTTCTTGGCCATGAGGGCACATGTCCACCAGCTCTTGGGCAACTTGTTGTCCACCAGGCCCCCCAGGTGCTTCTCTGCCAAGCCCTCACCTGCACTGGTGCAGGGGCTGCTCCAGTCTGTTGTGACAACGACAGAGCTCCCCTGAGCCCAGAGCACAGACCCCCAGAGCCCCCAGAGGATGCCCACAGCAATCCAAGCTCCAGAGGAGAGCAGTGCTGCAGACCAGTGCCCACCAGGGGCTGCCAGCTCCCAGGAGGTGGAGGTGGCATCACATGAGCAGCCAAAGGCTGGGAGAACTCATTTTAGTCTTCTCCAGCCACTCTCTGGTCGGAGGGGGCACCTTGTCACAGCTGCCCACGGGCACCCTGGCCCAGCCACCCAAGGTTTAACCCCTCCCCTCCCCACGTAACCTCCCAAACACCTGGCTGCTGCTACCTTGCTTCTTCAGCTCATCTGCCAGGCTCCTGGTGAAGTCGTGGCCGTCCCGCAGGGTGACGAAGCAGTAGAGGCTCTGCCCTTTCAGGGGGTGGGGGTGGCTGACCACTGCTGCCTCCGAGACTGCAGCGTGCTCCAGCAAGGCTGACTCCACCTCTGCCGTGCTCAGCAAGTGCCCTGGCAGCAAGGGGGGCAGAGCTCAGCACAGCCACACAGGGCAGGGCTCCCCCGGCCTCCCAGCACCCACAGGGATCAAGTCTGTGGGGGGCAAAAGGCCCCAGGCTCTGAGTGTCAGAGCATCGACTTCATTTGCTTGAGAATGAACAGCTGGAGAGAGAAATTCCCTCCAGCTCATCACCAAAAGGATGTTTCCCCCCTCGGGGCAAGGGCCCAGCTCACTCCTGTACCTGGCACTCTGACATCCCACCCTGGGGCTGCTGTCACAGAACCACAGGAAGGTGGTGAACTGCCAGAACCATCAGCTGGTGGAGGACCAGGCACTGCTGGTCAGATGAAAGGGTCTAGTTTGATCCAGGGACAAGTACAGCAGCACCTGGTAGACTTCCAGCCTCCAGGAAAGGAGAGCAGAAGCTCATAAATGTGGCTGGGCAGCAGCTGAATCTCAAAGACTCAGTCAGGAGAGGTGGGAGAATTTCCACCTCTGTAGACACAGCTCTGAGCAGCCTGATCCAGCTTCTCATGGAGCTGCAGGCTGGATTAGGGACCACATGGTCCTGCCCAGACTCTGTGAGTGTGACTCCAAATCCTTCAGCACAGATGCACCCTGGCTGGTTAAGGACCTCCTCCAAGAGGTTACAGAAGGTTCTTTCCTCTCAGTGTGTTGTCTCCAGAGGAAAAAGATGTGGAAATCACCCAGTCACAGACTCATCTGCCTTGGGAATCACCCTGACCCACAGATCAGGTTGGTTTGGAGGACAGGCTGCTGGGCAGTCACGGATGCAGCATCACCCCCATAAAGCAAGGTGGCTTTTTTAGCTGGTGTCAGGATGGCTGCAGAAGTGGCCCCATAAATCAAGGCACCTCAACTCACACCAGAAAGCACATCAGGCTCCACAGAACACCGAACTTGTTCTTACCAGAAACATTCAACATGTCATCAATTCTCCCTGTGATCCAGTAGTAACCATCTTTATCTCTCCTGCAACCTAAAACCAGCCAGAAACAGCAGCGTGAGGAAGCAGTGCCAGCCCTCAGAGCAAGGGTAAGGGGCTGTGGGGCTGGGACAGGGCCACATTTCAGCTGGTCCCCAGGCCCCTGGAGCCACGTGCTCCCCTTACCATCTCCTGTCACGTAGTACCCAGGGAACTTCTTGAAGTAGGTGGTCTCAAAGTGCTGGTGGTTCCTGTACAGCGTGCGCATCATTCCCGGCCAGGGCTGCTTAAAGACCTGGTGGGGAAGAGCAGAGACCTAAATCAGCCAGAGAAACAACCCCCCAGGCTCTGCACCACGGCCATGGGATGGATGTAGGGCCAGAAGATGTCAGTGGCACAGCCACACGTGGTGACAGACACTTGCTGCCCAGGGCTGGTCTCCTGGGAAGTCTCTCTAGGCTTGGCATGGGGAAGGAGTGTGGCTGAGGTGCTGTCCCCATCCTCCTGCCCTGCCCAAAGGTGTTTAACCACCAGCTGAACAGTTTGCTCATGGTGTAAAGGTCCCAGCAAGTTAGGGCAGCAAAGGGATTCCTACCACCCAAGGATGACCCTTGTGTCAGCCTTGGCACGCTGTCAGACCTACCAGGAAGGAGCTCACAAGGAATGGACAGGGGGAGAGAGGACAAGATCAACCCTTCTTTACCAGGTAGCCTTCTGCTTCTCCTTCCAGCTCTTCCCCCGACTCGTTGAGGATGGCAGGGACCACTCCAAAGAAGGGGAACGTCTGCCATGGGGACCAGAGAGCAAGGAGACATGGAGGTGAGCCCCAGCACCAAACCCCTGAGCACCAGAGCAAGGGCAGCTTTGGAGGTGCCACAGCCACACGGAGCCAGGCCTGGGACTCTGGGTGGTGGCCACCTCCCCACACACATCACCAGCCCACCACCACCACCACCCTGGCAGGCTGGTAGCC